ATGATGTTTGGACAATAAAATTGTTTGTTTTGCATCGCACTGTTTCACTATTCTTGGCAATATTGTGGCCCGCGAACAATACAAAAATAATAGTGTGGCCCGCGAGGCCGACAACCTTGAACCACCCTGGTCTAGTTCTAATCTCTAAATGAGGTATTTGAGTTTATTTGGCGTATTTTAAAATAACATTACAGGCTCAAAACGCTAATGAATAAAATGTATTTCAATGTGGTAATCAATCAATCGGCAGTGTATTTTAGATTATTATGTAAACATGAGTTTGAAAAGAAAGCTGGCCAATTCAAACGGACAATCTAAAACGGAATTTTTTTATGGAACTTTCCAATTTATGAGTTTGAAATCTTACTCTAAATGTAGATATAGTGAGCTTTTTGCACGTTTTGGTGAGTTTCTTTTTGGTAGTTTTTGCATGTTTTAGCTTGATAAATGACAAATAATGATTAATGTGTTTGGACAATGGAAGTGTTTATTTTGTATTGCACTGTTTACATATTCTTGGCACTATTGTGGCCGCGAACAATACAAAAATAATAGTGTGGCCTGCGAAGCCAACAACCTTGAACCACCCTGATGTAGGGTATAAAGTATTTTTTTCATTTTGTGAATAAAGTTGTTTATAAACAACACAAGACTGACTGTCTGTAGAGTGAAAATATCAGATATTAAACGAAAACAGTTTCGAAAACAAAAACAGTATTGGGTTCATCGACAGCATACAAAAAAAAATGTAATTTCAGGAATAAACCCTAGGTTTATTTTTCGGAAAAAAAATAATATGAGACCCTGTTTTATTATAGGCGAGAAATAGTAGAAACGTTGGCACTTTATTTCTCTGCCAATGCTTTTCATATTATTTCTAGTTGCGTGGCGCCATATCGGGCGATGACTGTGCGCTCAGGAGTTTGGCGTTTTTTCCCTGAATCCGAATTTTTAGACTGTTCAAAGTCTAAGTCGAACTATTAAAATCTCCAATGTATCCATATAATTATGATAATAAAAGTAAACGCTTTCTATGACAGGGCTTCCCTGGGGGCGCGCAACAAATATCAGGGGTTAAAAGAACACACCAAAATTTCAAGCAAAGTACTTACTATAGCTGTTGTACTTTTTTAGACTTATTATTCGAAACACAATTATTAATGCTAGTGCAAAACATGAATCTCAAAAAAATTTATCAGAACGGCAAACTCTCATTTCTAAATATATTCAAAGTGACTAAACTCGCGGTGTTTTGATCACTTCGGGATCCTTCCGACTAGACATCCTCAAAAGTTTTTGCGGTTCGCCAACCTCGCAACCTTAGACCACCCTGGTATATTTTATCAACACAAGAAGACGAGAATATGTATAAGTATTGAATAATGCACTATTTCAGTTCATAAATTTTTATTTTGCAAGACTGGTTATGTAGAAGCAACACCGGAATTAATTAAAGTACTAGATAGATCACTTTATTACAGATACTGAAGTTCGCAAACAAAGTATTTCATTGATTTATTGACAGCTTATTCCAAATGAAAAACGAAATGTTTTAATGGGAATACTTCTCAGTATGAATTTTGGATCAATCAAGATTTCAAAAATTTTAGTGTAAACTTGGAAAATTTTATTTAGTATAGCTGGAATGTTTTTAGAACAAGTTTTTTTGTTTTGTTACAAGTTTCTTTCAAGTTTTATGGCACCATAAATTTCACACAAAGTGTTGTTGTTTTTTAATTAAAAGTATATATTTCTTATAAGGCCACTCTTGGCCGACTACGTCACGCTTGTTCGGAATTGTAATATTTTGGTAATATGAGACACAGATAACAGAGGTAAGTAGTTAAAAATTTGAATTCAGTGTTTGTGGGTAACTAGGTTTTTATTGTTTAAGCGCTTATTGTGAGAAAAATCTTGACATAAATTATTGAAGAAAATTTAAGTTGAGCGCGTTTTAGGTTGCTGGGTGTCAAGTTCGATTCGTCGAATGCGGTATTTGAGTTTATTTGGCGTAACTCAAAATAATTGCGTGCACCGTCGCAGTCTAAAATGTTATGCGTAATCGTGGAAAAACATGAGAATGGTCGATTCGTTACCAGCAGTTTATTTTATCAGCATAAGAAAGCAGAAGAGGTAAAATACGTAACGAGTATATAGAGCAGGGTGGTACAAACCTAGGCCCGCGTCGCAATTGCGCGAGTGTAAACAAAATATCGCATTTGGTGTTGTTTCGTCATCAAAATAACTAGAAAAATAATGAGCTTGGCTAGTCTAAATTGTTAATTGGCTTTTTTGAAAGCCAACCAATTTAAACAGACACTCTAAAACAGTATTTTCTCCTTATGTAACTTTCTTCGTTATGGGTTTGAAATCTTCACTAGATGTAAATATAGTAAGATTTTGCACGTTTTAGTGAGTTTTTTGGTGGCTGTTTACCTATTCATTGGCAATATTGTGGCCCGCGAACAATACAAAAAAATAATGTGGCCGACGAGGCCGACAACCTTGGACCACCCTGAATTATAGAGTATAAAGTATTATTTTTATTTTGTAATTTCTATCTGTAGACTGAAACTATCAGATATTGAACGATAACAGTTTCGAAAACAAAAACAGTGATGGATTCATTTACAGCATAATTTATATGAAAAAAAAAATGTATTTCTAGGAAACAAATTTCTGATAAATGAGATTTCAAAGTTGTTATCGAAAATTTGGAAATTTTATTTACTCTCGTTAATTCTAAAAATTTTACATACTGTGTTTTTCCGAAAATAGGAACTAGCCTGAAAATAAGACCTAGCGTGAATTATAAAAAGGATTTTAATATAAGACATCCTCTTAAAATAAGACCAATTCGATAGCGCAAAATATTTTTTATCTAGTCGACAGCAAGAAATCTATCCTACACGTTTTAAATGATTCACAGTTATTATTAATCTATGTTTAGCAGTAATGTCAAATAAAAACGTGCTATTTAAAGGTAAATATATATCTGTTTTTATTTTTTGTATATTTAAAAATCTTGCAATTCTCTACTTTGTAATTTTGTTTTTGATAAATGAATATAAAAGACATCCTCCAACAATAAACCCTAGTGTTATTTTTCAATCGAAATTTCAAACCCCCCATTTTATTTGCAAATGGTGTTATAAAAGGCCAACGCTTTTCATAGAAGGGATTCCTTGGGGAGGGGTATTACCCCTGGGGGATGCAACCAATACCTGGGATATTGGGAAGGTAGAGAGCATAACAGTCACGCCAAGTACTGTAGCTGTACTTTGATTCGAAACACTAGTGCAAAACAAGAATCTCACGAATCCAAGAAAATACATAGGATCAGAGTATCGACGAGATTGCATAACAATGTGGAATTTGATCGTAAGTGCCAAGAAGCGGCGGCCGACCGACTTAACGGGGGTCCCGGAAAATATTAACTTATTGAAGGGGTCACGATCTTGTAAGTTTGGGAAGCCAAGGTTCATACTCTATAACAGTGGTTCCGCCATGGGAGCGTTGATAATTTGTTTGAGGGGGCGTGAAGCTTGTTACATTTGATCTTGCCGCCTTATTTTAGATATTTTCATTTCTTTATTGTTTAGAGATTGCAGAGAGCTGTTTGGCTTGTGGTTATTTTTATTAACTATCATATTACTCTCGTCTTATTGTCTGTTATTTGGAGCTTATTGTTAGCTAGTTATATTCGAGGTCGGGCGCGAGACAAATTCTATCGAGGAGGCGCGGTTTGGAAAGTTTGGGAACCACTGCTTAGTAGATCTTAAAAAATATCAGGTTTACCAACTGATCTTAAATGTCTATTAAAGGAGGCTTACCTATGTTTTGTGATTAAAATTCGATTTTCTTTTTGTTCGGAGCTAAAGTCGGAATTATTAGGACCCTGAGTCAAAATTGTTATTAAACTGGAGCAATGAGTTGAATGTAAATGTGGTCCTGACTCCACAGACCCAGTATAAGCTGCATGTTTAACTTTTATCAACGTACAAGATCGGTTATTATTAATCTCACGCGATGAAGAAATTCCCAGAGCCGCAAGTCGGAGTTTCATTTATTTAATGGTGATAATAAAATTCTCTTCTTCAAAAACTCAGAAATCATCAAATTTGCTAGGTATTTTGAACAGTCCGATTATGAGCCAATGTTATATAATTGAAATTAGAGTTTTTTTGAGGTCTAAGCTGGACTCGGGAGTGGATTGTAAATTTTCTCCAACCTTATAAACGTGTCTTAACCCTTGCATGCATAAATAACGTTCATTTTAATCCTCCCTGTTTATGTAGTTAACCGTGACAACTCCGAACCCATGTAAACTTCTAAATGCTTATTCAATCACCATTACTAATAATACCATTGTAAAGAAAGACTACAAATTTGTACATTAAAAATGAATATTTCAAAAATAAAGAATACAATCTCCCAATTCTCCACCATCACTCATTTATTTCAATAAAATATTTATTATTTGACGTCCGCCGACTTCCTTCACTGATGAAACCGCTTATGAATCACTCTTCAATAACAAAGCCACCCTTCTATTAAAACTACAGTGTAATAGCTCAGTATGACCTCAATCAATCACATCGTAAACAAAGAATGATCCACTTTTTAGTTGCTGCCACCTAGTGGTGGCGCTTCCATTTACTCATTTTGAGGGTTTTTTATGAAGAGAGATGAAGAGAAACGCTTCACTGAGTATTTGAGTTGCATAACAATACGTTTCAGACAGGAAAAAGCATTCGACATATACGAGAGGAGGATGTAAAATTTTTTGTGCCAACTGATAGTGGTGCTCTCTTTTTGTATATTGAGCCCCCTTGTAAAAGAGAATTGCGGAGAAACATCTTACAAATAACTTGCTACATATTTTTGGATGTCACACAAAAAGTTTGAGTATGGTGAAACCACTTGGGTCAGACGAGAGATGTTTTGAACATTTTTGTACCAATGGCATCAAAAAGAGTTCTCACTTTATCAACGTTTTTTACAGATCAGTTATAACTAATCTTATACGATGGAGAAATCCATGGTGATTATCCTTCTGATAATTTGCCACATTGCAATTACAACTGTCGTTGCTCAGCATTCGGTGCCGTTTCCGTCAAAGGGAGAGGATTCATGCAACGTAGTTCAAGTCAACTGCGGGTCGGCCGCTCCTGTTAACGATGAAAGCGCCTCTCAGCACCTTAGACACCCGGGGCCCCCCGGGAAGCGTGGCCCCAAAGGCGACTTGGGTCCTATTGGGCGTGCTGGACCCCAAGGTATCAAAGGAGCAAAGGGCATAATTGGGGGTGTTGGACCAGCCGGTGATAAAGGAAGTCGAGGTTCAAAGGTCAGTAAACTGGGCAAGTTTTTCAATTTTTGATTCTAAACGTTTTTCATTTTTGTAAGAGCTGCCACTCAAAAGTATGGAGTAACCAATTTTGAAGGGACAAGTTTTTTTCGGTTCAGTATTGTCTACCAAATTTATTACACCCTGGGTGAGGTGGTGAGCATGGGATTTCAACCTGCCATGACCATATAGAGTTAAGCCTACGCACGTCAATCGCTTGTCCATCGCGCGAACCACTGATAATATTTGAAACGACGAAACCAATCAACAGTTCACACGGGAAATGGTGATGAATTTAAATTAAAGGTATCATGTCACAATTATTAATAGTTTTACCGCAGGCATAAATCAAGGATTCTTATGTTCGTAAATTTAAAAAGTAAAATACCCCCTCGTTTGTGTATAAAATGACTATAATGTGTATATAAAGTATCTTTTCCAATGGGCATCTTATGAAATAGGGTATGGCTGAGCTATACTGTCTATGGACAGCGAAAATTTATTAGACACGAAGTAAACTTATGGATCGTATTGTTATTGTTGTTGATAGTATTTTTTTTCTTGTTATTACGGCATTCCTCTTCAACTATGAACCAATTGCTTCAAAGTTTTCAGTAAGGAAAGATTGTATTTCTATTACTTTTATTTACTTTATAAACTTTCGCCGGCTCCAAAGGATTCATTCCTAATCATAACTGGACAATTATTAATTTTCTTTTTTTGAACGTTGGTGAGAATGTTTTTTTTTAGATTTTCCACAAAACATCCGAAAACCCTGCACGGGTTGGTTGTGTAATATAAAAGAATATCAAGTATCGAACCCATTTGAGCACGGGTATTTTTTTTTAATATTGGCAAACACCAAATTTGATACATAGTCTATGTTTCATTTTAGGGACAACAAGGAATCAAAGGTGTGAAAGGAGACGCTCCTGACTACATGAGAATACAAAACATGATGAGTGAGTTTGTTTTTCTACCTACAGTATGTTCAGAAATGGTCGCTTCCGCTTTTTTTTGTACGGATGCCTCCAGTCCTTCCGGAAGTCCGGCACGAGAAGATTCCTAAAGTGATATGACGTCACGCATGATTACGTCACTTGTCTTATGAGATTTTTTGAATAGTGTGGTGAATTTCGCATAAAGCAAGCGAACAAATGCGCAGAATTTCTGAAACATTTTTATCTAAAAATATGCAAAATAGTATTTTGTGGAAATCTGATTCAGGATGCAGACATTCCGAAAACTGCTTTATTCAAACGATCTAAGAGTTCGCGTTTAATGAAATCTCCGTGCAAAACGCAAATTTTTAAGGGAAACTCAACTAATGCAAAAGTGTGAGATGTGGGAAGAACGCCCCCGCTCCGTTTGAAAATAACAAATTAATATATTTCCAGCTAGGGTTCGGAATGATTTAAAAATTTGCATTTCCAGCGCAATTAGCATTCCTAGCCCTCATCGTGCATGTATAGTTACTAATTTTTATATTTTGAGCAGTGGTGGTTTTTTTTTACGGGGGCTTTGAACAAAACATCACTCATTTTTACTTACACTAAAATTGCTCGGGTCGGGTGACCCTAGAGCTGACATGGGCAAATTACAGCCCGCGGGCCAAATCTGGCTCGTTGGGTAATTCATTCTGGCACGCCTGATGCTGCCACAACCAAACGAAAACCATATTTTGATGTTTTAGCTTAAGATTAGCGCAAGGAATTGATTAAGATTACAATTAGTTTTGGCAAGAGGTTTATTGTTTTTCGCTTTTGTTTTTGAAACCCTCTAAATGTTGTTCATAAAATGTATTTTTTTACGTCATACCCACATGGCCCAGTCTAGGTGGCCCACCTCTGCCCGAGAGCTATAGGGTCTCTTTTCAAACATGAACGGAAAATATTTGGGTGGAAAATAACTATTAGCTGTTTTCTGTGAGGCTGCAAATGTAATCGGGGTACTTCACAATAAATTTTATGTTAGGTATTTCAATTATTTGGCTACCTTGAGATAATCTGTATACTGTATATATAGATTGTCTAGTAAGCACAATTTATTGATTCAAAAAATACGCAATATGAGATTTGAATCATTTACGATTATTTTGACTTCCGAGTATTCGTTTCAATTGGGCAGACATGACGGGTTAGCAAAAGTTTGTCCAGAATAACTTAACCACAGCCAACTTTGTGACTGCACGCAGACATATATATATATGTGCATGTAAACATGTTTATTTAAACAAGAGAAGATCTTGTTTCATTGCCAAGGAGGCATGATAATGCACGAGTGGCACGCTAAGATGCACGCTCTTGAGAGTATTTTACAGCCATTTATTTTCGACTGCAGAAAAAATCGCCCTTTTTCGATAAGAAATTCTTTTTTCTTGTAAATTTATCAGCACATCTCCGTTTTAAATTTGTTGTTTTAGGTGCAACAAGCTGCAAAGATCTGAACGAAACTTACGGAGTTTCCACAAGCGGATACTATCCATTGAGAACGATTGGTACCGGAGGTCTGGTCTCTGTTTACTGCGACTTCAGAGTTTACGACGGCACGTAAAAACCTGTTTTCACTATAAACTTTCTTGACTTAAAAATTCTTATTGAATATAATTAATGTGGCCGAAAATAAAACGAAATTTACCGTCAAAAACAACAAAAAGTATTTTTTTTAAATTTGCTGGCTAATAAAGTTTGGAATATTTGAAAACAAATTTTCATAAGTATGATTTTTCTGTAATGTTGATGTTCTCTTGAAATAGTTACCATTGTAAATCCCCTAGACTGGACGGCTGGGAAGACGTTTGTCATCGCACTTCTGATTATATCCTGCGCGGGTTTACAAACTATTGGTAAGTGAGTTCTAGCACTCGTTTACTGCCACTTCAGAATTTATAAAGGTACGCAAGAACTTGTTTTCGACGAGACATGTTTTTGAAGAAAATGCTTTCGTTCCAAAATTCCCGATGAATAACATTTTTTTTATAAATAAAATTGGAATTTGGCTTAAACTGAAACGAGTAAAGAGGAATTTCGGATATTTTGCATCGTAAAATATCCTTAAAATATCCCGCATAATGTTAAAATTTCTTTTCACGTATACTTTTAATGGGGTTTCTGTTACCTTCTCTCAGTATGATCTCAATGTAAGTGGCCATTACATTTAACCAAAATATCTTCTTTCCTAAGTCAATGCGGCATGTCATGAATGATTTTCTTAGTTTATCCTTACCAAATTTTCAAAAAAATGAATATAAAATAAAATGTGGCGCGTAGTAAACGTATATAGCCTGGAAAGATATCACATAGAATGTGGTGGGGTTCACTTCTTTATAACACGAAGCCAGAAACCACAAATGAAAAGGTCGTAATCAAATTCGCGAGAAGCTTGAAAAAAATTAAGTAATTTTCTGAAATAAAATATTAACAGTGACATTCATAAAGGCCGGTATACACGACAGCAGTATAACTCACCGTACCGCGACTTTCCGCACTATGTGGTACCGGTATGCGCGAAACCACAGCATGGTACCGGTATTGCTGGCCAGACCGACAGGCATGTCATACCAATGTACCATATATACCAATAATATAAAACAATGTCATACCAATAATATAAAACAAACTAAAAAATACGCTGCGGTGAGTTCGCACACTTTCGGGTATATCGGCCATAACTCACTTTACGTTGGTAAGGGATATTACGAATTAACTGAATCGATCGATGCGGTCGAACAGGTTTATCCCGCCTCACTTTTTCAGTTAATTAAAACACTTTAACGGTGCATGCATTTCGGTACATTCGCATATGTAAAAGATGAAAATACTACAACAAGCATTTTGTGTTAATTTCCATGCATGGAGATAATAATATACAATTGAATTTGTTATATAAACAGGTATTCATACATGCCATCAACTGAAGGAAAGAAACGGAATAACGACGTCTGGAAACTACTTTCTTGGACCAGCTAACAACCAATATGAGGTTCATTGTGACTTTTCTGGATCGGATGGTACGTTAGTTAGTCTATACTTTTATAATTATCTCAATCCTACTTAGAAGCGCTTCCAATCACAGTCAGAGCTTTGTGTTTGAGGATGGCTGTGGAGTCGGAGTCTTCTTTTCAAACTCTCTAACGTCGAAGGTCAAAATTTTCTACTTTCATATGTGATAACAGAAATTTACTCTGATACTCAAAACCAATTTACTAAGCGTGCTTGCATACTAGAAGTTTTGGTACTCCTGAAGTATGCGTACCAAGATGGCGGACAGCGGGATGTAATATGTGTACTAGTTTGGGTTAGGCCATAATTTTATTCCAATTTTCCTTATTTTAGTTCTATTACGGGTTCGGGGACTAGCCAGGTGACTCCTGTAGTATTTGTACCTAAAATTATGGCCTAACCCTAACCTGGAACACATACTACGTTCCGCTACAAATACTTCAGGAGTATCGAAGCTTTTGTTATTGAAATTTGATTTTTGAAGAGCTCGGAGCAGGAGTCTAAAATAAAATTTGTTAGCAGTTTGATTCAGACTTATTAAGCTGTTGTATTGTCAATAAACAATGGAATATGAAATGAATCAATGCAAGGTTGCGATTATACAGAATTCTCTTAAACGTTCAATTTAGTATTGGTTTTACTTTAAGATGATTGCATTAACCAGACAAAAAGTTTCATTTTAAATAAAAAGAAAACCAATTATAAACTGGCAATTCTTTTGAGGCAAATTTTCTTATTCATGAGGAATCTTATGGAAGGTTGGAGATTCATAGGAGTTGGAGTTTCAACTATTTAACATTACATTCACAGCAATCACCGAAATTCGACATGATTCCATGGGAGAGGTGCTGATGCCAAAGTGCGAAGATCCGGGGTGCTACTCTAAGATTCCTCTGTATACAATCAGCCTGATCGACACGATCAAAATCATCGAGAATTCAAGGGAATGTCGGCAGTATATTCAGGTTTGTAACTTTGCTGATAATCGAGCAGTGGTTTTGAAAAGGTAAGGCAATCATCAGAATCTATTTTATTTTTTTGTTCAAGGTATTTAGATCATTCCATTAAGGCATTTACACAAGAAATCGTTACCATTCTATGCTTTTGAAAAAACGTGTTCCATATCGTAAAATATTTTAATCAATTATACCTCAAATAAGAGATTTATTAGTTACATGAAATACTGTATTGACAACTCATTTGCGTATTAGTTGTGCAAAAACAGGAGATAAGTGTTTGAATATTTTTACTCGCAGTCGCGCATCAGTACCGGTATAGCATGAAAGCATCGAGATTGCTGAAAAGAGTGGTAAAACGAAAAGTGTTTCCGTTTGAATAAAATGAAACGGCAAAATTTTGTGGTGAACAATCGAGTCCCATACCGTGTTCGGCGGAATTCGGGACACAAAAAGCAATACCCCTTTAGCCGCTTCATCCATGTTTATTAAGATTAAAAATATTCAAACTGATTGGCCTGGGTCTTCGGAGAGCATCCAGTTTACTGAAGAGGTCGGTGCCAAGAGTGACGGATGTGGCCGATGAATACTAAATAAAACGTGTTCCTTTTATTTAAAATAAAACATCTAAATTCCGAGTAAATGGGGAAAACAATTTAAACAAAAAATAAAAGTATTGCTCTTCATTGACGTCAATAACCAATAATAAGTAGTAGATAATTTTTTCTAATTAAATTCAAATAGCCAAAACGTTATACCGAAATTACCAAGTACTGAAAATATGAAATATATTAGTCCATCCGTTGCGGCGAATAGCAATTTTTCCAAAAAAAAAAAAGCTTAGCAAAACGGTGTCAAGCAATGAAAATGAGTCAGCGATCGAACACTAAGCAACCAGTCTTTGAAAGTTGAGTTCTGACTTTTTTTTCGTTCAGAAATATGACCTGTCCAATGTCGCAGCCAGGAATATTTAGAGTGAGGGGATATGAAATTTCTGATTGCCAAGTTAGACCGGGCTATTGGATCCAGCCAGAAAACGTGATTTACAAGAGTCTAAATAACGTTCCAATTGCTATGTATAATACATAAAAATGCTTACCCCTTACCCCTACTCTGGCTACGCCCTTACTAGTGGGTATTGCTCACATGAGCGACCTATTTATTATTTGGGGTTGCATAATGCTAAACCTAAGCTTGATTGAGACATTGAGACAGTTCATTATCAAATCTATTTCTTCTTTTTATATAGGCACGTTGTGAAGGAATGATGATATTACGTGATGGCCCTTATGCCTGGTGGGTTTCACGAGATGGTGAGAAAATGCTATATTGGGGTGGAGCGACTTCTAGAAGAAATTCTTACTGCGCTTGTGGAGAGGCAGGTAAAGTCTGAAATATTTATGAAGTGTACTGCAGTTTGATAATGTTTGCAGTTAATAAAACTAACCCCACAAAATAAAAACCTTTTCCACCACCATCTATTACCAAAGTGTTAATCAGTAATGAAAACATAGTTGTAAAAATGAACTTTTTTGCGTAATAAAATTAAAAATGGCCGGTCCAAAGTTGGGTTAACCTGCATTACGTGAAACGGGAGTCTCTGAAACTGAAATTATTTAATTTGCGCAAATGTTTTGAGCGTCATGTCATGACAAACTGCTTTACACTTCGTAAACTCTTCAGACAAATATGTTTAACCTGTTATTCAACGGACTCGAATACTGTCTGACATAACAATATGTGAGTGAATTATTGCTGAACTTCACAGCACGATGGTTCACGTAATCGTTGGTTGGCTATGGCTTTCTCCGACCTTGACTTCTCTGGTTTGAATATAATTTGATTGGGCTTTATACAAAAATATAGCTTTGACTTTCGCTACCGAAAGTTAATAAACTCCGTATTACCCGATAATTTGTTCAATATAAGATAATTATTTGACTTTGAAGTTAACATCGACAACTCAGATTCGAACCCAGGATCTCTGTTCCCGGCTGACAACATAGTTAGGCGTAAAATCGAATCCAAAACATTTGATTAAAAGTAATCCGATGACATTGACCAGCGACGCCAACACGCCAAAATACGGTACCTTCAGAAGTATGTGCATCAAGATGGCGCACAACCTGAACATAGTATGTGTATCAGGTTAGTGTTCAGGTTGTGTGCCATCTTGGAGCACATACTTCGGGAGCGCCAAAGTGCGTTATCCGATAAATCTCAAGGCGACCTAGCGGTTAAAGAATTTGACTTAACTGTAATGGTATTGCATATTCCGCATCTCGGATTCGACTTCATGACCCCACCTACGCAGGGTGTGTTAAATTAGGCAGGCAATACCGAAAAGATACCGGTTAATGTATAAATTATTAACTGTTTACATATCAATCGATATTGGTGGCTGCTAGCACACGGCCTTACTCGAAGCTAAGAGCATGATTAAGCGTAGTATGAAAAATGTCTAGCTATATAGTAAGCCATGAATGCTGGAATTGAACGCCAGAGGAGCAAGGCCAGTGTTCTCTCACATTTTAAAAAATGACGAAAAATGATTACCCTTGTTTCTATATTTTAAGGTGGATGTGCTGACAGCAACTACAAATGCAATTGTGATAAGAACGACGACGGCACCATCAGGGCAGACGAAGGATTTCTGACCGACAAGACCAAGTTACCGGTCAAAGAAATAAGATTTGGCGACATGGGAGATAGTGGAGAAAATGGATGGCACACTCTCGGCAAATTAGAATGCATGGGATAGAAACTCGAAACCAACGGAAAACTAAAAAAACGATTTACATTACAATGACTTTTTACTAATTGTTCGTATATTTCATTTCGCTCACAACGAGGATAATGGATAAGCATCCCAGGCAAATGCCCAGATACTGTTTTGGATTATAAGAATATTTCCGGTCGTTCATATCCTATCGGAAGTATTTCATCGGTAAATATCACGAACTAATAGTTTTTTTGGAGCGAATCGAAAATTATTCTATCGGGAAATATCACGCTCAAATTAAGGCACACTTTTTCGTCATGTCAACACTGAAAAGTAACTGTTAAAAAGCGTCAGTCGTGAAATGTTTAAATGGCATTTCACCGTAGTTTAATACTGTTAAAAGGTGTCAGTTGTTAATTAAATGTTTTAAGTAGCATTTCATCTTAACTTCCGTTAATTTTGCGTTACTTTTCTAACACCCTGTAGTTTGCTTTTGAAACGACTCGATGCGAACTTAATGATAATTTTTCAGAACTTCAACTCGTGCAAATTATGTAATGTTTGTGAATGATCTAAGTCATTGTAATAAAATATATTCATCTCGCAAAATTATCCAATCTGACTGATAGATGGGCAAATAGCTGGGTGGTTACTCTAAGATTTTACAATGATAGAAGATTTTTCGATAGTTGTAGAACTTAATTGATAGCCAAAGTCGCATCTTTATTGCCTATTCTGGATTTTATCCTAAACATGGCACTGTTCAAACGGCCACTGGTATTATGTAAAGAGGTAATATTTCAGGAACAATCGGAATATTTCCGGTTTGGCATCGTCTACCGGATAATGCCATTTTGAGGCGCCAATTCAGACCTTTCGCTACGAACAAACTCTTTTCAAGTAGCCAATTGTATATGACGTTACCTAAAGAGCTATTATCTTCAGAAAGGCAGGAATCTTCCCAATTTGGCATCGCCTAGCGGAATAATACCGTTTCTGCCACGCTTGTTCCGGTCTTTCGCTCTGAACAAGGGTTGTCTAGGCGACCACAGATATCTATATCTAACATTATGTAAAAAGTTAGTATTTCGGGAAAAAGGGAAAATGTTCGGGTTCGGCAACTTCTATCGCAATATTGATATTTTTGCGACGCTTATTCAAGCCTTACACTACGAGCAGTACACTTCTCAACCAACCAATGATGATATCTAATGTGCAGAGCTACTTGTTTCGGGAAGAACAGGATTATTTCCGATTCGCCATCGCCAACCCAATTTATTATGTAAGCCTACTCCAGAGAAGGGTAAAATGACATTTGAACCAGAGATTTGTGACACGATATGTCCATTGACGATTTAAGTCAAGGCTTTAATCGCAAAGCCATACCGGAGCTTGATCTGTTGTCTACCAAGGTATTAGTACTAAATGGCTCGACATGGGCGGATACAAGAAATCATTTCGTCGCTTCCCTGATGCTTGTTATTTGTTCTCATTCTGCTAATGATTTCTCATTATATAATGCCATGGTTCAGACACGATTATATTTATGTACGTCAATTGCCCTTTATATATTAACAGCACCCGCGTACAATATAAAAGAGAGTGTACTGTTTGTACGCCTTGTTGAAATCTCTGTTCAAATAATTGATTCAACCCTGATACCAAGTTACCGGTCAAAGAAATAAGATTTGGCGACATGGGAGATAAGGGAGAAAATGGATGGCACACTCTCGGCAAATTAGAATGCATGGGTTAGGAACTCGGGACCGACCGAAAACTAAGAATACTGATTTACATTACAATGGATTTCTTTATATATTTCATTTCGCTCACAACAACGATAATGGATAAGGACCCCAGGCACATGACCAGATGCTGTTTTGTAACATAGGAATACTAAAGACTTTTTCATAACATATTGAAAATATTCTATCGGTAAATATCATGCCTTAATAGTTTCCTTTGAAACGACTCGAAAACAACGTGATAACAATTATTACAACTTCAACTTGTGCAAATTATGTATCGCTTGTGAATGAACTGAGTCAATTTAATAAAATATATTCATCTCGCAAAATTATCCAATATGACTGATAAATGGGCAAATAGCTGAGTGGTTACTCGAAGATTTTACAATGATAGAAGATTTTTCGATTGTTGTAGAGGAATTAGCGGGCTTGTCCATCGGACATATTTTTATGTCTCATTCCCACCCCATAGCAGTTATGCCTGTCCCATCCCATGGGATTCCCATTGGAATAAAAGTCAATAAATATTGTTAAATTTAGGTTTAGCGTCTAATAAATAGGACTACATGTAAGAAGACACATGCAAAACAACAAAATTTACGGACTTTGTTGACTCTATATAACTATTATACATGCGTCCATCTGCCCCTCACAAAGTATATTGTTAATGTTGTTGAGCTATGCTCAAATATATGGACAAGAAGTCCGTAACGAAATGTTTTACCATCATTTCCCGAGAATCATACGGTTTTCGTGTCCCATGGGAAATACAAATGTGTGTTGTGCTATCCCACCCCATGGGACGTTTCCCAGGGACAAGCCGTGTAACCAGTATAGTCAAGATTGCTTGTTCATTACTTATTCGGGATTTTATCCTAAATATGGCACTGTTCGAGCACCCACTGATATCAGATGAAAAAACGACCGAAATCTTCCTAGTTTGGCATCGCCTACCGGAATAATGCAGTTCCCGCGACTCTTGTTCCGTCTTTCCGCTCTAAACAAAGCCCTGCCAAGGAATTCACTGTTAATTAACGTATGGTGTACGAAGTTGCTAATTCTCTGAAAAACAGGAATTTTTTCTGGTTCAGCCTCACCTACCAAAATATTACCGTTTCTGCCACGCTCCGACTTTTTGCTCCAAACACGGCCTTTTTATGGAGCCACTGATATCTGAGGTAAAAAACTACTATTTCTAGAAAAAACAGAATCGTTCCCGTTCGACATCTCCTATCGTCATAATGCCATTTTTCAAGAAGTCACTAAAATCTATCATTAAGTAAAGATGGCGCACAACCTGAACCCCAACCTGGTACACATACTATGTTCAGGTTGTGCGCCATCTTGGTGTACATACTACGGGAGCACCGTAAAAAAACTACTTGTTTCTGGAAGTTTCGACGGAAATTTTTTCCCTTTAGCGAGGTTTCTTCAGGTCTCTCGCTCCGAACAAGGCCCTGCTCAAGCAGATTTAATTTAAATTAATCTACAGAGCTAATTGTTTCGGGAAGGACAGAATTCTTCCCAGTATGCCATTGCCTACCCGATTTGCTATGTACTCCGGAGAAGGGTAAAATGACATTTGAACCCGAGATGTGTGATACGATAAGTCTATTGACAATTAAGTCAACGCTTTAATCGCAAGGCCATCGCGCCCACTATCGAGGTGGCAGTAATGGCAAACACGTAAGATTCCGAAGACTCAAGAAAATTAGCGTCCATGTACGGGGAAAAAAATTGTAACGGGCATGGGTTACGTGTACCACTCTTCAAAGACAAGGCGTGGTTACTATTTTGCCATATATCTCGGAGGAGCGGAAAGTTAATTAGCTACCACGTTGAATTTCTACGTCACATATGTCATGACGTCTTCGCTTTAACACGTTTCCCGATTCTCAAGATAACCAGAACAAGCTGTATTACAAAAACGACATCGAATAGCAATGGTGGTTTTGGCATTTTATCAATATTGACATCTCTAATTTTTATTATCTGTTTTCATTTTTACTCCTATAATGGTAGGATAGGATAAGTTTGTTTAGGTTACTCTAAGCTGTTATTGCCAACTATTAATCTCCGGTCCCGTTGTTTTTGATTTTATTTATCTTACTATAGGTAGGATGAGCTAGGTAGGAGTGCTATCCCGTTATTGCCGCACTAATTTCCTGAACCTTACGCTTTCATCGAGTTTAGGTTATGTTAGCCTAATGTTCTGTTGAGCGGTAGTAAGAGGCAGAGAGAACGGTTTGGCAGTATTCTAGTTTAAGGATTACCAAACTTTTAAGCTCGCGAACCTTTTCTATATATATTAACTAGAATTTTCTGCGACCCCAGTTAAGTTGTCATTGTTATGCAAGCACACCGTTTCTCTGATGCTATGTATTCCCTTGAAATCGTAAGATTTATGCTTTGCAATAGTTTTATCAATTATGTTTCGAATTAAAAGTCCAATAAATATAGTACTTTTGTGTAAAATTGGTGTACTCTTGCAACCTCTGAAATTTGTTGCGCGCCCGGTGTCAGGGTCGCGTCCTCCAGTTTGAGAAGCCCTGGCCCAGTCTAACCACTGAACTAGTGAAAAATATCAGAAAATTAATGGCGGGGCAATCATAAAATAGTGCCAGCTTTTCAAATGAATATTGGAAATGCATTGTGCACTTGTAGTATTATAATGTGAAAAAAATTTTACTTACCAACTTTGCCGGGTGAAAAGAATCAAGATGGACGGCCACATCCCACATCAATAGTTCCGTATTGCAGATAAATCCCAAACGTAGATTACAACAGTGTTTTTAGAGCTGCCGCAAAGGCGCAGTTCTTACCATTTCATGGCAACTCCTGCCACGAACGTACCGCGGCGTCTCTTGCCATGGTTTTATGGCGCTATTACCGGTATATTTACAAAGTCATGTACAATGTTTTAGTCCATCATGCGGAATTATATCTACTATCCAACTTACCCAATATTTATCACCATTAGAGGCAGCCCTACTATTACAGCCGACTTCCCGTGGTTACGGCAGCAAAATTGGTGGTATTCGATTTGCTGTCGTAACGACGACAGCTCGTTATTGGTTTGTGGCAGCTAAAAAGTCAGTCGCCGTGGATTTGGTCATAGCGGCCATGGTTTGAAAATCCCGCCATGGTTTTGCGGCAGCTCTAGACGCCACAAAATACTCAAAACTGCACTTGAAAACACATCCCATGAGTTGTAACTAAGTCTATTACTCAACCCTTTTTGCATCAATCATTTTAAGAATTTTCAGGAGAAATTTAACCCGGACCGATTTCCTACAGAACCAACGAAGCATACTAAAGGATTCCGAAGCGTTTAATTATTACGTCACAAGATTCCGGTCACATAAATAGTGAACAAGAAAAAGATAATTTTAGTCAATGGCTACGCTTGCAATATTTCTGGATTAACCTAGACATGTCCGGGTTTAAGTATAAAATTTAAATATGAGTGGAAGAAGAAAAAAAACGAGGTGTCTAAGATCTGAGACCAGCCATCTAAAATAGAAGGCGCGCATATCTGCTTTAATTATTCAATTCAACGTTTCTTTTATCTTGCTTCTAGCCCAGTGTTCTTCAACCTTTTTTACCGTGGTATACCTTTTACAGTTTTTCGAGAACTTCGTATACCTTACAAATACCAATGTTTATTTCAAGCTAAAATGATCATTAAACGTTAGGCACATATTGAAAAAAACTAAAATCTAGGTGGCGGGGCGAGTCATTATAAATGCTTCTTTTAATTTTTACTCACAGCTGCAATTAACTTAACATCCAAATGTGTAAAAATGTAAAGACAATGTTAATTTAGTTTCCTTGGCTTCTTTGTTCTTGTATAGTTTCGGCAATTCGTTCATAACGGGGTTTTACTTCCTTTTCAATTGCTCCCCGCATTAGTGAATCAATATCAAGTATTGAGTTTATATTTTTCGACTTGATTTCAACAAGACTGGAAAACCCTTCTTCACACAAATAAGTCGTAGGCATCTGTACCAGGAGAGCAACGGCGTTTTCCGCCAGATTTTTGTACTCGGGAAATTCAAAAAAAGGAATCCAAAACTCCGAGTAATCCATTTCGCGGAATTAAATTTTTTGATTTAAATCCTCCCGGAGTTTCAACAATTCTTCGTCTTCTGTTGGTTTACTAGTAAATGACTGCATTATCCATGAGTTTTCTTCCAGACGTCTGTTATTATTCTCAGGAAAGTACAAAGCCAATTTATCACTCAGTAAGTTCAAATGACCAACAATTAGGGTAGACGTGGTATTTATCGTTGAAACGTCCACAAACTCCCACCCTGACTTTTTTAAAAATTGATAAGAGGAAAGTCAATGAAGTTTCCTGAAAGTTGAATTTTCATCTTCAGAGCATTGGTTTTGCTGGTTGATCGAAATATATCACCTTCTTTACCTTGAAAACTGACTTTCACTTGATTCAAACGATCAAAAATCGACGCCATGTACGCTAATTTTGCAACCCAATATGTATTACGAAACTTGGTGGCTTTTTGGTTTCCTCTTTTAGTGTAATACGCCCCTGAATGCTCGCGAAGTTCAAACACACGAGAAAGAACTTTTCCTCGGGGCAGCCACCGTACTTCTGAATGTAGAAGATGTTTTATGAAGTGGCGGTTGTTTCTTCACACAGTTTCGAGAAAAGTCTTGTTCGTTTTGAATTTTTTTTTAATTGTATTCACAAAATATACGACTACCCGTAGAACATCGTGTATTTAATTTTCTTTCCGCAGCTCAAGCGAAATAAATCGACGTGCACGGCAGCCAAAATCATCAAAACCCAGACACGTGCCTGCATTATCTACATAATTTGTGATGAAACAATGTGCTCAAGTCGGTTCATTGCGTGAATGAAAATTTCATATTTCATGTGCGTCGCGTTTGCATTGTTGTCTCTAATTGAATATTTTATTAGAGCTCACAATTCCTAATTTAGGCTGTACACCCTTCGTATACCCTTTATTAGTTGTATACCCTACGAATGGTCTGGTATACACTTAGGT